AAAAAAAAAAAAAAAAAAGAAATGGCTGGTCAACTAACCAGCTCTGCTCTTTCTTACTGTATAATCTAGGTACATATTAACAATGACATTCAGAATTTAATAATCTTTATCCCTACAGTCTAATCTCCACACACAGAGAATGATTCTTTTAAAATACAAGTTCAATCATCTCACTCTCTTGCTCAATTTTTTTGGTAACAACCCATCCCTCTCAGAGTAAAAGCCAAAATCATTGCGATGATTTAAAAGAACTGTAAGACTTGAAAGGTCCTATGCGATCTGACTCCTGGCTACTCTTTGATCTCATGAATAAACATCATGGTCCGTTCTAGACTTTCCTCAAACCTGACAAACACATCCCTACCTCAGGACCTTTGTATATGCTCATTTTGTTCTGTCTACAAATCTCTTCCTCCTGTCAATATCAATTTGGCTTCATTGTCATCTTTTTCAGGGTATTTGTTTAAATATCACCTTAACAATGAGGCTGACCATACTGTATAAAATAGCAAAATAATCCCCTCCCCTTTTTTTTTGGAGATGGGGTCTGGCCATTTGCCCTGGCTGGTCTGAAACTCCTAGCCTCAAAAGATTCTCTCACCTGAGCCTCCCAAAATACTGGAATTACAGGGATGAGCAACCACACACGAGTTCAAGACCCGTCTGAACAGGAGGGAGACCTTGACTCTATTAAAAATAGAAAAACTAGCCAGTTACTCGCGAGGCTGAGGCAAGAAGGGCCCGAAGGGTTTGAGGATGCTATTCAGAGGAACTGTTAATCTTATGGACTTTGCCTCATCACCTATGATGCCATGGCACTCTACTCAGGGTGACAGAGTGAGACTCTGTCTCGGGGGAAAAAAAAAAAACAGAATTAAAAAAAAAGAAGTCCTGATAAGACATGCCCTTTTCCTCTTATCTTGCCCTATTTTTTCCCTACCACTTACTACCACTTGATACATTGTATGTTTACTTATTTGTTTCTTTCCTCCGCTAGAATGTAAGTTATATGTGTATGAGGATGGACATTTTCATGTTTTGTTCACTTCTATGTCTTATGCCTATAAGAGTCCCAGGTAAATTGGGTGCTCATCAAGTATATGTTAAACGAACGGTCTTCAAAACTATATTCTTACATAGGCAAGTAACTTTAGCAGTAAGAAGAGAAGAGGGCAGCACCAAAGTAGTTTGCTAGGAGATCGCTTCCAGTTAGTGAGAATTCCCTTCCTCTGAATGAATTCTATCATACTTCAAACATTTCTAGACATGCTTCTGTCCTTTTAATTGCAGAATTTCATGAAATTTTAGAGCTAGTTCTAAAGGGGACAGAAAAAGACAGAACTAGAGATACGGAAATGCTGGAAGTTATCTTAATGCCACCTTTCAATCCTACTCTCACCCTATAATATAAGGTGACCAGACGTCCCGCTTTTGGTGGGATAGTCCTGATTTTTAACAATTTGTCCTGTGTCCCGTGGTGTTTTAAAAAAGTCCTGATTTTTGGAAAGAATGCATGACAAGCTAGGGAACGCGGGAGAACAGAAAGGGAATATACAGTTTTCGGCTGCCATGTGGCTATTTCACCAGGATATGAGTTCTATATTATTTTTGTTAATTTTATAATGTTAAACTTTAATAATAACAAATAATTGTTGAGAACTGATTATCGAGAACTGCTTATCAAAGTTTGCATTGTTGTCAGGCCCCACCCCCACCCCAGTCAATGGTGTCCCACTTTACCAATGTTAAAATCTGGTCACCTTATCATAATATATACCTTCTATGTATGAGGGTAGCTTTAGTGACTTTATCATTGTTATTTAAAAAGGGTTCTAAGACTACTCTAATTTCTTGAACACGCAGTAGTTCTCATAAGATTTTAGAAGATCATTCTTTTGATAAGCATGGTTAACTTTTTGCAGTTAGAGGACCCAGCAGCATGCCTTGGTATTGAACTACAATTCCCAGAATGCATCTCCATGAGGATTCTGGGAAGTGTGGCAGAAGTAAGCTTTTGCTAGCTGCGGTTAACTTTAGAGGAGTTAGGGGCAGGCATAACGATTAAACTACAATTCCCAGAGTGCTCTTTTAGGAGGATTCTGGGAAGTGTGGCAAAAGCAGCAACAGTCTCTTTGGAAAGGGAAGGCTTGAACTTGAACATTTGGCGTTTTCCTGGTCTCTGCTGAATCTTGAGGCCTAGAAAGGCGACCCTAAAATAATTCAGAGTGAGTACAATGAAATAGAAACCTGCAAGGGCAGGACAGTCTTTATAGGGAGGCATAATCAGACCTTGAGAAAAGCTCTTTGTTATAGTATATTACAAATTTAGCTTAGTCTCTTTTCCTTGCAGAAACCAGGGGAAAATGGCCAGAGTTTTGTATTATAACTATGGAGATGTTTCATTAACTACAGTAATCAATTTCTGATATGTTTTTGCAAGGTCCTTTAAAAGTAGCATTTGTTAACCACTCACATTGTTCCTTAATTTTTGAGTTTGGGGAAAGTTATTATTTAGAAAGCAAACCATAAAGCTGGTCAGTGAGACCCTGAAAAATGTGTCCCAGTTCCCCAGTTTCCCCACCCCACAGTCATGGAATGATGGACTCTCAAAATAGCTCTCTCAAACACTATTGAATCTAGCCTCTTCTCTATGGGAATAGCCACTAGATTGAAGGTGGGCTTTTTTATCATTCTGTAGTGCTTTACAAATTAATCTGAACAGGAGGATAAGCATGTGTGAATTGCTTATTACAAGGGGTTCAGAGGAACTGTTAATCTTATGGACTTTGCCTCATCATAAAATTATATATACATACATATATATATATATATATATATATACTTTTTTTTAATGAATGAAATACTTATTTATTTATTTATTTTTGGTTGCAGTTTTTGGCTAGGGCCAGGGTTTGAACCCACCACCTCCGGTATATGGGGCTGGCGCCCTATTCCTTGAGCCACAGGCGCCACCTATAAAATAATTTTTGATAAAAATAATACTACCTTTAATCTCTATCAGGCTTTGTACTAGTAAAAACATAAATAGCTCTTTGACCACCATGAGTCAGTAGGCCGTAATAATCCATGACTGCCTAAGGTTCATTTAGTAGCAGAAACTAAGGAAAACATCAGACAGCCATACAGATTAGTCTGTAATTACAACTACAACCAAACATCTCTTGCAATTCAATGGATCCAAGAAATTCACCATAGGAATTCTCTTTTGGAATATATTGAGGTGTTTCTGGGAATGGTGGCCTGGAAATAGCTTTAGTGAACAGTTTGTCTCAGAAACTACTATTTTATTATATATATTTTTTAATCTTAAAAGGAATGTGTACATAAGGTTTAAGCAAAAAGTTAGTTTATTGAGACAGAGTTTCACTGTTACCCTGAGCAGAGTGTCATGGCATCAGCATAGCTCACAGCAACCTCAAACTCTTAGGCTCAAGAGATCCTCTTGCCTCAGCCTCCACAGTAGCTGGGACTATAGGCACCTGTCATGATGCCTGACTGATTTTTCTATTTTTAGTAGAGACAAGGTCTCTCTCTTGCTCAGGCTGGTCTTGAACTCCTGAGCTTAAGCGATCATCCTGCCTTGGTCTCCTGGAGTGCTAGGTTATAGGCCTGAGCCACTGTGCTTGGCCTTAAAAAAATGTTTCATGGAGTCAGAGTCTTGTTATGTTTTTCAGGTTGGACTCACTGCAACCTCAAACTCCCAGCCTCAAGCAGTCCTCTCACCTCAGACTCTTGAGTAGCTGGGACTACAGATGCCCTCTGCAATGCCTGTCTATTTTTAGAGACGGGGTCTTGCTCTTGCTCAGGTTGGTCTCGAACCCGTGAGCTCAGACAATGTACTAGGATTACAGGCATGAAGCACTGTGCCTAGCCCTTATTTTCTATTTATTTTTAACAGCTGTGCATTCCATTTTATCATAATTTATAGTTAAAATTCTTGTACATATCCTCTCCTTTCTAGGATAACTTTTTTGACATGGGACTGCTAGGTGAAAGAGGAGCTTATTTATCATTTTATAGATAGTCCCAAATTAACCTCCAGATATACATACCAATTCACATTCTCAGAGTTGTATGTGACCCCAAAATATTGAGTTTAAATACATTTCTTCTAGGATATCACACTAGTTCTTGGTTTATTAAAATAGGGATTACACCTGTAATACTCTCTAGAATGCTTTGCATTCCACATATCATATACTGCCTTTTGTGAAAGTTGTATATTTGTTTTCTCTTTCCTTCTAGAGTTGAAGGCAGGGATTTTCTTCCTTTACATTTTTGTGTTCCTTAAGGGATCTTGAACAAAGTCAGTACTCAATACTTTGTTGAATGTCATTTGCTAAATATATTTTACCCTTGGCTGGGACCTAGGTCATAGCCAAAACTGTCCAAGGATTAGTCATCAGAGATTCATAATTATGCAACCAAGAAGTAGCAATAAACGTAGATGTTCTTGGGTAGTTTTCTTTTCTTTCTTTTTCTTTTTCTTTCTCTGCCACAACTTGGAAGAAATAGTTCTTGGAAAGTTTATTGTTGAAGCTTTCTTCCCCAAGAACAGTAAGAAGGGTGGCTGGTTATGTATTTATTTATTTTTTTTGCAGTTTTTAGCCAGGGCTGGGTTTGAACCCACCACCTCTGGCATATGGGGCTGGCACCCTACTCCTTTGAGCCACAGGTGCTGCCCCTATTTATTTATTATTTTGGAGACAGAGTCTTACTATGTTGCCCTCGGTAGAAATCCATGGTGCCACAGCTCACAGCAACCTCAGACTCTCGGGCTTAAGTGATTCTCTTGCCTCAGCCTCCCAACTAGCTGAGAATATAGGCGCCCGCCACAATGCCCGGCTATTTTTGTTGTTGTTGTTGTTCTCTCTCTCTCTCTTTTTTTGAGACTGAGCCTCAAGCTGTCACCCGGGTAGAGTGCCTTGGCATCACAGCTCACAGCAACCTCCAACTCCTGGGCTCAAGTGATTCTCCTGCCTCCACCTCCCAAGTAGCTGGGACTACAGGTACCCACCACAACGCCTGGCTATTTTTTGGTTGTAGCATCATTATTGTTTGGCAGGCCTGGCTAGATTCGAACCTGCCAGCTCAGGGGTTGGCGCTTTAGCCACTTGAGCCACAGGCACTAAGCCTGGTTTTCTCATTTTTTCAGGGGAATTTCTTGGCTTTTTTTTTTTTTTCAAAGAGACAGAGTCTCATTTTGTCACCTTTGGTAGAGGTGATGTAGAGTCACAGCTCACAGCAACTTTCAGCTCTTGGGTTTAGGTGATTCTCTTGCCTCAGCCTCTGAGTAGCTGGAACTACAGGCACCCGCCACCACACCTGACTATTTTTTGTTGCAGTTTGGCCAGGGCCAGGTTTGAACCTGCCACCCTTGGCATGTGGGGCTGGCACCCTACTCACTGAGCCACAGGCGCCACCCAATTTCTTGGCTTTTTATTGTCAGTGTGAAAGGTACTTTTCATGAAGAAGAAAATATTTACCAATATGCAATTTAAAAAGGACTATCTGGGTGGTGCCTGTGGCTCAGTGAGTAGGGTGCCAGCCCCATATACAGAGGGTGGCAGGTTTGAACCCAGCCCTGGCCAAATTGCCACAAAAAATAGCCAGGCCTTGTGGCAGGAACCTGTAGTCCCAGCTACTTGGGAGGCTGAGGCAAGAGAATCGCCTAAGCCCAAGAACTGGAGGTTGCTGTGAGCTGTGACGCCATGGCATTCTACCAAGGGCGACAAAGTGAGACTCTGTCTCTAAAAAAAAAAAAAAAAAAAAGGGACTATCTTTTGCAGAATGGATCTTTTGCTACAGAATTGTTTTTCTCTCCCAGTGAGCTACAAATAATAGAAAATGTCTATTTTGGATCCATGGATCCATGTGAATTTGCACAGCTGCCTTTTGAAATATTTTCCTAATGGCTATGATTTTGTATTTTTCTTATCTACAGGAATCCTCCTAATTCACTCTTATTCTAGACAGGTAGAACAGGTCTCAATTTGTAGACTAGGAAAGAAGTACTGAAAAGTTGAGATCTCATAGTCAGTGGTAAAAATACAATTTAGAAGCCAAATTACCTGACCCCTATTTAGTTCTCTTACAAAGAGAGCTGATCCTGGTTTAAACCCTCTTGGCGATTCTTTACTTTAAATCGTATACTGTAACCTTTTTTAAACTACTCTTTTTCCAGGGACCTGACAATGTCCCTATATTGTGGAATAGCTTGCAGGAGAAAATCTTTTTGGTGCTGTAGGCTGCTGTCAACCTTCGTCACTAAGACACGGTAAGTTTTAATCATCCTGAACTCTGAATTGTTGACCTATTAAAGAATAAACTCTGAACATATTAAGATCCCACATTAAGAATTAATGATTTAATAATTTAATTAAGAATTAAAGATGTGGCTGGGCATAGTGGCTCATGCCTATAATCCTAGCACTCTGGGAGGCCATGACAGGTGGATCACCTGAGCTCAGGAGTTTGAGACTAGCCTGAGCAAGAACAAGACTTTTGTCTCTACTAAAAATAGAAAAAGCAGCTGGGTGTTGTTGGCGGGGGGTGGGGGTGGGATGGGGGGGTGCCTGTAGTCCCAGCTACTCAGGAGGCTGAGGCAAGGGGATTTCCTGAGCCTAGAAGTTTGAGGTTGCTGTGAGCTAGAACATCAAGGCACTCAACCAAGGGGACAGAGTGAGACTCTGTCTCAAAAAAAAAAAAAAAAAGGAATTAAAGATGTGTGATAAAAATTTATCTAGGCCAGATGCTGTGGTTTTTACACCTATAATCCTAGCACTCTACAGGTAGGAGTTTGAGACCAGCTTAAGCAACATAGCACTCTGGTCTCTATAAAAATAGATAAAATGGCTACATGAGATAGTGTGTACCTGTAGTCCCAGTTACTCAGGAGGCAGAGGCAGGAGGATCACTTGAGCCCAGGATTTGGAGGTTGCAGTGAGTTATGATCATGCCACTGCACTCATACTACAGTGAGATCCTGTCTCAAAAACCAAAACACACACACAAAATAATAGTAATATTTTTTTGTATAGTGATGTGAAAAAAATGTTTACATGTGTTTGAGGAAAAAGGCGACAAATTAGTAGGTATAATTGATTCTAAATATATATGTATCCATGTACAATCTCAATAGTTTAGAGAATTCCAAAGTATAAAAATAATGATTATCCCTGACTGGCAGGCTTGCGATGATTTCCTGTTTTAAAAATTGATAATT